CCCCAGCCAGCCATGCTGGCTGGGGAATTCTGGGAGTTGAAGTCCACACATCTTCGAGTTGCCAAGGTTAAGAAACACTGATCTAGAGAGTACAAGTCAAAAAGGCTGCACTACACAGAGAAGTGAGTCCACATGTATTTTTGCTGAACGTGGAAGTATTTGTAACACCCAATTTCATTTGAGTAACATTGGGGGATGCTGGTTTGGCCCCAGAGCTCATGAGTAAATAGCTCTAGACAACAACTCCCTGGCTGGGACCTTCAAAGCAGAATAAATGAATTATTTACAAAAGAATCCCCAAACAGACTTGATTAAAAACTCAGAAATTCCTTTGGAAGAATCATCGATCTGGGGACACTGAACTTGATACCAAAGGGTGGTGTAGAAAGTAGGGAAGGTGACCTTGGCAGAGATATGCAGGAACTGTTATCTAGGCAGAAGGGGCTGAAACATTTAAGTCCAGAACAATGAGATAACATTTGGAAGTGGCTCAGGAAGACACCACCCTAATTCACTGCAGCATAAGAAGGAGGAGGAGATACAGCACAATTAGACCTGCAAGATTCTGCTATTACAGCCAGTCTCAATAAAAGTAGTTTCAGCCTTCCTGTGGAGTTGATTTCCTGGTCTGGTCCACCTGACGGGTGTTCCTCATTTAGAGGGCCACCACCAAACACATGGTTTTCAATAGAACCCCTCCCTGCCTTTTGGACCATATGCGTGCTTTTCCTGACCCCCTCACTGTTCTCCTTTTCAGACTCAGATGGTGTTTTTGGCCGTGTTCCCCAGGTCATCATAGATGACGAGGAAAGCTTGCTACAGACTGACCATGAGCGTTCCCTTGAGTTGCAGAACCTCCGTCGCATCTCTGATAATGCCCAAAAGCAGTACCAGAAATCCCGGCCAAGTCCCTCCCCAGAATCCATCAAGAGGGTCAAAGAAATGGAATTCAGCCTTCTAGGGATTCATCCCTTGTTCAGTGAGCATTTCTGGATGCGGTGAATCACTCCAAGGGCTGGGTGGGAGTGGGACAAAATCGAATTAAGTAGGGAGTTCTTTTTAACATTATCTAACTTTTGGATTTTAGGGATTGGTTTCACCTATTTAATCTTGGGGTGAAAATATATTTTTTTATAAATATTCATGGATCAGATTAATTTTATAATCTGATTGTGGGGAGAATTGAGAATTCTCTGTTACTGGGAGACACGCAGTCTGCTTAACTCAGTCATGTAAAGACTTGGTGGACGTTGGTTGGGTTTAACTTTGGTTCGCTTTGGGGTGGGATTTTTGAGTTGTGTGAATCTAATCTCTTTGGTTAGAGAAGTTTATGGTTCATGCATATCTAGGAAATGGATTCCTCCAGTCAGGGTTAAGCGTGTTGTGGGAGCGCAGTCTTAGGCATCCTACGCCACAACAGTTGACCCGTTCTTTCATTTTCGGTCTTCTGAAGGTTTGCGTTTTGAGGAGGATGAGATGGCACGGCTGAAATTCGTGGACAGCATCAAAACATACCGTTCTAAGGCAGTAAGTGTAGCCATGACTTTGAGGATCAGATTTCACTTCTGCCTTCACAATCCTTTGGAAGTCATATGACACCTTGTAGAGTGGTCCATGCGTCCCCCATAATTTTTGCAACTTGGCCCTGGACTGGTTTATGATTACAGCGGAACCTGGTTTTCATGAACAAATTGCAGGAACAGTGTGTGTTATTCCCAGTTACCTGCTAAATACATCACCACCACAATTTGTGTCATTTCCATGATGCAGATGAAGTTTTGAAAACTCTGGCTTGGCATGATGTGGAAATGCAGTTATTGAATACTCCATGCCCTGTTTGAGAGAGGTTTGATTAGCCAGGTTTTAGCCCTGGTTCCTCTATGTAGGCATGGTCTGTTTCATCCAGGAACAGCTCAGACTTTCTGTAAGCGTTCCTCTTGTGAAGCTCCTCTTTGGTTGGATAGCCCTGATGAGAACCAGCCCTCTAATCATCTATGGATGGCTATCCTTGGGAGCCACCATTTTAGTCACCCACAATGCACCTGATGTAGCCTTGCTGAGGGCCTTATGGGAAATCAAGAGGGCAGCTAACTGGGATGCTGAGAAAATGACGGTTTCAAGGGAATCCAACGAGCGGGGCCATGTTAGAGTAAAGGAGAATCACTATCCTCTTACCTAGTGTGATGTTCAGAGAAGCGTTTTTCATCTCTGCTCTTCTTCATTAGACAATCTTTGAAATTAATGCCACCAACAAAACCCTGGCCAGTGACGTCATGCGGGCCAAACGGGTCCGCGACCGGCAGTTCATCGACCGACACCAGCGGAAGCAGGAGGAAAGGTTGTCCTTGGCTGCTGTGAGAGCTCAAGAACTGGCTGCCGCAGAAGAACCATTGGAAGACGGGGAAGACCATATTCAGGTAGAACAACAGAAGACAACTTTTCGTGTGTCCGAGAGCAGTGCTCTTTTTAGTCACGAAGAGGCTGCTGGAAGGCTTACCTTCTCCATAAGATCAGGATTCCTCTAACTTGTTTTCCTGAACTTCTGCACCAGGATGTCTTCTCCAGCGTGGTGGGGAAGAAACGAAAGCATCTTCCATCAGAAAATAGGGCAAGGAAGAAAAGGAAACTCTCCGTGCAGAAGGAGAAGGAGTTTTACATCCCCTACCGACCCAAGGACTTTGCTTCGGAGCGTGGGTATGTACAGAATCTAGGCTAGGGGTGGTGGGCACGTTGAACCCCTTACCTAAGCAGAGATAGCCTTGGCTTTGCAGGTAGATAATGTGGAACCATGGTAGTCACTGGGCTGCTGACATTCTTCGGCTACTTGCTCTCCAGTTCTTCAAAAATATTTAATATCTAACCGCTAACGTCTTGATTTTCAAGAATCCCTCTATGGCCCACATCAGCAATATGTCTTAAATAAAAATGAGGGGCTGGGTTGGAAATACACCCCCCTGCCCTGGCAGTTGTGGCAATAGAGAACATCTTGGAGAACATGTTAGCAAGGGGGAAGCTCACGTACTTGTCTCCTGATAAACGGGTGTTTAGTGTCCATTGTGGCAGCTGTTCTATGACAAGCAGGCCTCTATCTTGAAGGCAGCCACCTTGTGAATGCAACCCCTCCCCCATGCTCTCCAATCCCCTCCCTCTGCTTTGTGCAGAAGGAATTCCAGGGCTCAACCCCTCCCACTTCCTGAACGAAAAAGGGATCACACATCAGACAATGGGGAGAACCCTAGAGAGCCACTTCTGCAGGATATCCAGAACTGCGAGAGGGCCACTGATGGGACGTGTCTTCTCTCGATTTTGCAGGCTCTGTGTTGGTGGGGAAGGCACCGCCTTTGAACAGCAGGCATCCGCGGCGGTCCTCGACTTAATGGGGGATGAGAACCAGAATCTGAACAAGAGCAAAAAACTCATGAAATGGTGAGTCACCCAATTGCTGAGCAAATTTTCAATGGCTTCCCCCCTTCCCTCTCCCCAAAGACATGGGCAGGAAGGTAGTTCTGGTTTCAAAACATTCCTGATGAATCGAATCAAGGGCCTCTTGGTTCCCACCCCCCAAAATTAAGCAGTTATTTTTTTTTAAAAAGGAAGTAATTTGTGTTTTTAAAGCCATTTATTATTGTGTAGGATTTCCCACCTGCAGCAGGTGTTAGCATCTGTTCAATCTCACAGAAGCAAAAAGGGATGGGAGACCACTAAGAGAACCCAGACTATAGCCTAGACTGGGAAGAAAATGATGGGGAACAACTGTTGCATTGTCAAGGAAGTTGTAGCGACTTGTCCATCTCACACTGGGATCGGTTTGACTTGATTGTCTGTTTTAAACACTCACGGTTGATTGAGTACTTCAAAAAGATTCCTGAAAATGTAGCTGCAGCTATGAAGCCTTTGCAACAGTAAATTCGCTGTTGGGGTACTGTAAAACTTCCTGGACAATATTAATGAGAAATAAGGTCTGCTTTGCATTGAGTTAGTTCTATTACACCTTTATTTTTATATTCCTCCAAGAAGGAGAGAACTGCTAATGAAGGGCACTTCAGTTAGTGCGAACTAGTGACTGGGTGGGGCATAGCTTTGGTGTTCCAGTAGTTATGATTTTAATTTTTATTAGCCTCATTCGGCTGTTGTTTGGGAGGAGAGATAACCTACGTGTCCTAATTAATAAATCCAGCTAGAGCATCATTTTCCTGAAACTACCAGCTCTGTGTCATTTGAAATATTGGAAGTGCAGTCCTTCCCCGTCAGCCTTTCAAGGTAGTCCAGACAAGAATCACACCCAGAAGCATGAACTCTATCTTTATTGTAAGGTTACATTAAGAGAATCTTGCAAGTCTGAAAGTACATCTTTCCCCCCTCGCCTTGACAGTCCAAGAAACTAGGGAGGGTCCCTTCTGAGACACTTCCCATGCCCGCATTCCTTCTCTGGGCTCAGCTGCCGCTTATCTGACCGTTGCCTAGTCTGCGGCTCTTCATCCTGTCTCCCAAGCTCATCCCCGCAGATCATCACATTCCCCAACTAGGTGCCCCTATGTTGTCTGGGTGATTCTGAGAGCTGAAGTTCAGCCCAGTGGCTGAGCCTCTTGAGGAATAACCTCTGTCCTACCTTACTGGATTTTTTGTCCTGCAGGGATCGGAAACGGAAACGATTTGTTGGGCAAACAGGTCAAGAGGATAAGAAGAAGATCCGGACCGAAAGTGGCGCCTACATCAGCAGTTCCTACAAAACCAACCTGTATCCTTAGATTTCATCCTGGGGAAAGTCTTCTATCTATGTCTAAGACTCAACGGTGATTTGGTGCATATAATACAAAAAAAGAAAAAAGTTTAGATTAGAGCTGAGAACAAATATCTCTTCCTAGTCATTTTTAGAATGGGGACAAAGAAGGAAGGACTGAAGTAGGTTGACCTAGAGAAGAAAGACTCTGAAGTGTTTTAATGACTGCAGATTGTCTTCTAAATTCTAAAAGGCAGTGTTGGATCATTGGGGTTGCATTGCGGGAAATAAGTTTTGGCTGAACGTTGGGCAAAATTGATGGGTGGCTGGAGCTGTTGCAGGCACTTTGGATGATCTTGTTTTGGTTTTTCACCTCAAGCAAAGTAGGTTGTCCAGGTGGCCTCTAGGATCCACCCACCTCTAATCGTTCTAAGGCAGGGGTGAGCCAGGTCTGATCTTCACACATGATTGGATGCAAGTCCCAACACCTCCATTGCAATCGTCAATAGGGATTCACCCATCCTTTAAACAGAAGCTTAGAACATCCAATGAGTGTTGAGGGTCAAAAGAGAGTCCACCACCATCCTTTTCCCAACATGTATTTTAACTGGGGGAGGGTAGGTGGGGGTGGGAAGCAAAATAATGGGATGGTGAACCCAAGGGCTGAGTTTGGGGTGCTCAAGAAGACTTGGGTTGGTTGGATTTCTTATTCAGCTGCAGCTATGAGAAATGGAAGAAGAGAAATAAGATTGATGAACAGGATTCGGACACAGAGCTCGGTGGCGATCACAGGAGCAGGAAGAGGCAGAAGGGCAGAGGTGAGCTTTTGCAGACCTTAATGCAGTGTTTCTCAACCTTGACGACTTGAAGCATGGCTGGCTGGGGAATTCTGGGAGTTGAAGTCCACACACCTTCAAGTCATCAAGGTTGAGAAACACTGGCTTAATGTCTTCAGCTTTTTATTGTAATGGTTCCTATCTATGAAAATAAATGTTTAGGTGAAGTTGGGTCGTTTGAATCCCTGCGTAGGAGCGTAAAGTCTTCTGAAGGGGAGGAACAGTCAAGAAACTCTCAGAACAACGGAGTCTTTTGCAGCTACCGTGCAGCTGTGGGTGGTTTTTTTTTATTTTCAAACCTGAAAACATTTTTTAATGTTCTTAAAAAACTGCCCAAGAGCCAGTTTGGTGTAGTGGTGAAGGCACCAGGCTAGAAACCAGGAGATGGTGAGTTCAGGCCCCCCTTAGGCTCAAAGCCAGCTGGGGGACTATGGGCCAGTTGCTCTCTCCCAGCCCCAGGAAGCAGGCAATGGCAAGCCACTTCTGAAATCTTGCCAAGAAAACTGCAGGGACTTGTCCAGGCAGTCGCCAGGAGTCAGTGCTGACTTAAAGGCACGAAAAGAAAAGAAATTACTGTGTCACCATGAGAGCTAGACCCTTGTTTCTGGCTGCGTGATGAGGAAGAGATCCACAGGCTGTTGAAGTCCTGAGCAGAGATTATACGTTCCTCTTCGTGAAAGCAGACACTTTTAATAATTATGTCTCTTTGGGGCAGGGGACTGTCTGACACTGCCTTTAAGCCTTTCCACCTTTGCCTGCAGATTTGGGAGAAACTCCAGTGCCACAATTTCTTCTCTTTCTAAGTGGGAAATGCAGAATAATGTTTGTAATGCCTGGAATAGATAAAATAAATAAAATAAACCCGAGAGCGCCACAGCTAGGAGGCATCGAAAATTTCACTGTATACAGGTAGTCCTCAGCTTACGACCACAATTGGGACCAGAATTTCCATCATGAAGCAATACGGTCATAAAGCACAACCGCATCGCTTAGCAACGGCAGTCCCAGTTGCCATTGTTAACCAAATCCCATGGTCATTAGGCGAGGGAACTTCCCACTGGCTTCCCACAGCCAAAGTCAGTGGGGAAGCCAGCAGGAAGTTGCAAGTCCGAGGCCAGCAGGCAGGTAAGTGGCTGCTGCCAGGTGGGGTAGGGCGCAAGGATGTGAGGCAGGTGTGGTGAGGGTCAGGGAGGGTGTGCGAGGGAGGCGAGGCTTGCTGGGGGGTGTGCAAGGGAGGCGCAGCAAGGCTTGGGTAGGGTGCATGTGTGTGCAAGGGAGGGTGTGCAAGGGTGCCAGGGAGGTGAGGTTCAGGGAGGGTGCGTGGGGATGTGCGAGGGAGGCACAGCAAGGCTCGGGTAGGGTGCATGAGCATGCCAAGGAGGTGTGGTGAGGCTCAGGGAGGGTGCACGAGTGGCCAGTGTGAGCGTAGAGGGGTTGGGAGGGGGTGGACAGGTGGGGGAGATGACTTGTGACCTTCCTTGCTGGCTTCTCCATTGACTTTCTGGGGAAGCCGGCACGGAAGCTTGCAAATGGTGATAACATGATCGCAGGGCGCTGCAACCAGTCATAAGTGCGAGCTGGTTGCCAAGTGCCCAGATTGCAATCACATGACCATGGGGATGCTGGGACAGCTGTAACTCTGAGGACTGGTTGTGACCGCCATTTGCTCAGCGCCACTGTAACTTCGAATGGTCACTAAATGAATGGTCATAAGTCAAAGACTACCTGTAATGTAGTTCCACCATTATGCATCCTGCCCATCCCTGCCCTGTCCCACAATGCAACCTGCCTAAAAATCAAGGTGTTGCACAACTCCATCACAACCCTTTTGTTCCCTTCCAAAGGATCCCACCCTGCATCGTTCTCCCAGCAAGGCAGGGTCCACTCTGAACTGAAAACCAAGGAGCAGATCTTCAAGCAAAGGAAAAAGATGTCCAAGCAGCGTTTCCTGCAGAGCGGAGGGATGAAGCGCTTGAAATCTCGTAACCGGCAACGTGTGCAAGAGCTGCGCCAAATGGCTTTCGGACGCCGGACTGCCAAGAAGGGCAAGCTGCGGAAACGGATGTAGAGGTCCTGGGTCCCGGATGCCTGCTTGCGGCGGCCGACTTCCGCTTATTTACTGTGTAAACTCTGGGTCTAAAAGAAAAAGATTAAACTATTTTCAACTTCCAGCTGCTGCGTTTGAAATGGCTCTTATCATGCTCCGTCCGTTCCTTTCCTCCTGTTTTTTTAATTGGTTTGGAGTAGAGAGTTATCTTGAATTATGCGCTTGGACAAAGGCAGATTCGGCTTTGGAGCGCCTGCCTTTCACTCTTGGCCACATCATGTAGTACAGAATCAGTTCCCATTCAGCTAAAGCAAGATAGGGGTTCCCTGCAAACGGATGAGTTCAGAGCAAGCCTGTTGACCTCAAGATTTGCCTGACCTCCTGTCACTTTGCAAATCAACTGCGGTCTTGACCACCTAGATCAACGGCCCACCACTTTCCTTGGTTAGGAAGCAACTTTTATTTTTAAAATCAAAGCGTCTCGTGTTAACCTACAGCACAACGGCTGAATTTAAACCTCACGCAGATAAGAATGTTGATTTTTCCACACCCTCTACCCCGAAGCACAGCTGCCCCCTTTAACATGGAATTAATTTACATAAGTAAAGACATAACAGGGGCTCTTGTCCCAAAAGCTGCAGTCGTGGCGGTCTGCAGCAAATTGGGACGACATCAGAAGGATAATCTGCGCGCAGTGACATCAGGATGCAACTCCCACCCGTACGTTCTTGGGTCCTGATGTCACAGGATTTGCATTATGAGGCATTTTTTGACATTTTCCCCCTCCCTCAGAGACCTATATGCAATATGAGTTCCTAATCTGAAAGTCCTCCAGATGAATAGATTTCAACTTCTAGAAGTCTCCCAACCTATGTGGTCCTTGGCAAAGGATTTCATGAGTTGATCTGAAGGGCGCCCATATTAGGGAATATTATTCTCTGAGGCTAATTAAGAATTATTGCAGGTTTGCTAGCCCTAAGATGGAGGGGGATTGAGGAGGGAACTATGGGTACTGTCCAAGGTGCTGAAAACCATCTGGTTTCTAAGATTCTGTCGTTCTGACCCAAACATTTCCAAGTATGTTGTTGCAATTCCTGAGATCTGGATAATTTTTGAAGATCACTGAAATTCTTCAATAGGGGACTTGTGGTTTACATCTAATGCTGCAGATTCTGCGAGTAGAACCCCAAATGGAGGATAACTGGGGAAAGGAAAAATGCAGATAAATACAAGTGTGTCAGCCTTGTGAGGTAGTCCAGACAAGAAGCACATCCAGAAGTACTAGCTCTAACTTTATTGTAAGGTTACATTAAGAGAATCTTGCGAGTATGAAAGTACATTTCTGCCCCCTCACCTTTACAGTCCAAGAAATTAGGGACTTCTGAGACATTAGCCATGTCCCCATTCCTTCTGCAGGCTCAGCTGCCATTTATCCAACCGTTGCTCTGGCTGTGGCTCTTTCCCCTGTCTCCCAAGGTCATTGCCACAAAGTGTAATTCTGCTAAAATCAGGAGGTTCACAGTGTGAGTTACAGATGTGGCAATACTCACCCTAGATAGTGGATGTGACTGGCTGGCTGTTGTACTGGACTGAGATGGCACCACTTTTTCTGGCTGTGAAGCTTGTAGGGGCTCTGCTTTGCGGAAATCAGCAAGTATTGCTGTTAAATCTTCAATGCAAAGCTGGACCTGGTGGGATGGGGAAACAAAGATGGTGGCTGTTGATAAAATTGGGAGGAGGAAGTGCTACATACACTGCTTTGAGTACTTCAATAGAAGGCAAGATATAAATCAAATAAATGGATCCTAGAACAAATTGATCCAGACTTCTCAAAGGCCATTCAAGACTCAAATGGCCAGGCACAAATTACTCTATTTCGGACACATCATACAAAGAAGTCCATCGTTCCGGAAAAAGTAGAGGAAAGGAAAGAAGAGGATGACTAGCAGCAATGTGGATGGACTCAATTATAGTCACAATGGGTGGAATCTTGGAGGACCTGAAGGTCCAGGCCGGGGACAAATAATCCTAGGAGAAGGTCTATCTATGTGGTCATTAAGAGCCAATGCTGACTTGACGGCACATGAAAAAAGCCACATGTGGATGGTTTCATATCAAGATCTACTTTATGGCTACTCCAGATGTTCTAGGCTACAGACAAGTGTACGACCTGGATATCTATCAAGGCACTGAGACCAGCAAAAGGTCAAAAAAATTTCACAGCTTGGAGCCATGGCTGCCAGATAAACATCTTACATTACTTCCGTTTGCAAGATCCATTGTCAGCTTATTAATAATTTAAAACCTCTCACGCTGTAACTTTGCCATTGCTAAAAGCGTTTATGTAACACCGTTAACACTGACCGCATCTAGCTGGGCTTCCGTGTCATCCTGTGGTACATGAGCTGGTAGCTTCCTGTGCTTGGCCACCATCTGGAAGAGGTTCAGAGCTGCCAGCTTGATCTGTCCCAGCTCCAGGGTCTTGTCAGCAGCAGTGTTCTGGATGCAGATCCAGTTCGACTCCTGGAGGGGGAAAAGCAGGAGAAAATCCTGGCTTTTGTTTCATATATCATGCTAAAACATGGCCCAGTTTGGTTTCAGTTTAGCATGATGTATGATTTTGGGGTTGGCCAATGAGGCTGTTGTTCAGTCGTTAAGTCGTGTCCAACTCTTCATGACCCCATGAACCACATCGCGCCAGGCCTTCCT